GTTGATCAGAGAACACCAAGAACCTACCAGGGCCAAGGTCTCCGTTAGACTTCATACAGAATAATTCCTCCACCCCAGCCTCGAACAAACGGTCACCTTTAGACAAGGACACCGGGAAACAAAGCCTGCGCAACACCTTCATCAACTTGTTCACTCAGGTGATCGAGGAGCAGTAACCATACCAGACAGCATGCACCTGATCCCTCACATTGGACATCTTCTTACGAGCTTTCAAAAAATCGACCACTTTCTGAAAGTTTTCACCCTCTCCATGCTCGAACCCCTGACTGTCGTGCAGAACAAATCTTCTGTTTTCGCTGGCTATAATCTCAGCATTGATATCCGACACGCCAGCTTCTGAATGAGCCACGGTCTGGGGAAGGACAAGCTTTAGCAGCGGATCTTGAGAAGACGGGGAAGTGACCTCACAGCATCCTTGACGCCGAAGCATTCGTTGATAAGGGAAGATTTCCCTACACCACTCTGTAAAAACAAACTGTGAGCTAATACCTGAGAATAGAGGTATAAGAGAGCTACTTTGCCGATGACCAGGACTCGGAACCTAGCGGTAAGGTAAGTCAGAGTAGTCGGGGATTAAGCAGACTAACCGTTCGACCAACTTGAATAACTCATCCGTTGTGGGTTGTAGGTTGCCCTCGTCGGAGGTTCTGCCTTGGTTAAAGCATTCTAAGATCGATAGCACCTGCATTAGGCGGACGCTTTTGCGTTTGAGGAAGAAGTGCACACACCCCTGCGTATCGGCTAAACTTCAGGACGACATCGAACTTGTCAAATGATTTTGACCATTCTAGAGTAAAAAGTCCTGCATCAGCAAGACAGGAGCGATTGCAGAAGGGAGGTACTTGCCTTGTTTTCCGGAGAAGTGGGGGCCAACCTTACTTAGCAGTTCATCGAGAGGTATCTTGCTCTTCGACGCAGCACGAAACAATCCGCGGAATCGGACTTGCAGATAGAGGGGCTCTGAAGGCGAAAGTTGACTGCTTTGACTGGGTTTGTCGTCCAATGCTACACATGATCATCGGCTCACCAGGGGGATGACAACTCAAAGTTGTGGGTCGTTGCATTCAGGAGACAAGGTGATTCCCGCTCGAACGATCCAATCGAAAGTTGGATCGATTTGAGGATGTGCTGGGATTCAACGCAGATTTCTAGCCAATGGGTGTCAGATGTTTGACTTGCGGGGCAAAAACCTGGGAGGTTACCTGTAATCTCAATGCTGGGGCTTCCCGTTGAGCTACCCTTCGCGGTAGACATGGTGGTTTTAATGAAAGGGAGGTGTTTAGCGCTCGGAACACGCTTTACACGGCAGGCATGGGTGAAGACTGACTGAAATAGAAATTTTAGCCTCGTTTGTCTGATAAGGCGCTCGGTGTGACTGTCAGAGGATGTGACGGTATCACCTGCGAGCGCTTGAGCAGTGTTGCTATTGAGTCCGTTGGAATGAAAAGCGAGACAGAAGGTTAGTAGTGTCATCAGTTGTTCACGACCGTCCTCAGGAGGGGTGTTGAGGTGGAGATCGCCTCGAGAAGCGTCCGCGGAAAATAACAAAGGGTGATTTGGGTATCCGAAGTGAGTACAAGGTGTGTCCTATGACTTCCGCCATGCTGTCGGAGACCAGTGCTTAGGAAGGGCATCGCATGATGGTTGGAAGTTCTACAAAGTCCACAATTGTGCCAGCGCACGCCAAGGTCTTTCGGTTGCGAACGTACTGTTGGCCAGGCTACGTTGCGGCTAGTTGATAATCTAGATACAACCTACGTTAGAGGCGAGAGAAAATGGGAATAGAAAGCGTACTTACGGAGAGGAGCGGGTCACATTTGAAAGAAATAGTGTCGAGCTGCGGAGCCATGTGTGCTCCTCCTCCGGTCTCCACAACCTACGGCGTGCATTGACTTTGTGAAAGATGAAATATGACTTTGTAAGGGCATGTTAGAAATTTGTGCGGTGCCACCCCTAGATATGAAATCGAAGCCCCGGTTGCGAACGTGCTTCTAGATTGAAAAAAGAAGGTGAAATTGCGACTTGAATGAAAACAAACGCTATGTAGGCCTAACGAATAGTCAGTAGATAGAATTTTGACGTGTCGCCTTGGCTCACCTGGAGGACAATAATCCCAAGTTGTCATGAAAATGCGCGTCGACATGGTTCACGCCCGCAAATGTCGTTGCAGTGCTAGAAGTCGATGTTCCAGGTGCCATTACTCGTTCTGGTCAAAATGAGCAGAAGCTTTCCTTAACATGTTGACCAAAAGTTTAACCCAATACGGGTGTACCACCAACCCAGTAAAAAAGAGCGTGCGTGTTGGGTCGTGTTGGGTGAAAATCCAGATGGGAGCCAAGACCTAGTATGATAGGTAAGCATATACACAACAAAGCCAGAAACGAGGCTTACTTTCAAAGCAAACCGGTTGAACGTATTGTGAGGTCGCCCCGTTCCCGTTCCTCCGAGGCATCGAAATCTAACCACTAGGCGTCTTTCTGAAACGTGACACGACGAAGTTCCACGGCGCAGTACGGAGAATGCGCTTCGCGACGAGATGAGTCGCGTTGGCGTTGGCATTTCTCAAAAGACGAGCATCGATTGTAGATGACGAGGCTCATGTCGACCTTTCCCTGAGGGATTCTGCAAGATGTAGGCCCCAGCTCGGACGTTCCGCGAAACGGGTGATTCCCTGTGCCGAGGGAACTTCGCATCCGCTGTAGTAAAGGGTTGACATTCATCACAGTCGTGAGAGGCTCCCCGCACTCTTCCACAGAATAGCAATAGTGACCTTGCAAGTTCGCCAAAGTGTCACACTAAACTCTGGATAAGTACCTTCGCCAGTAGAATGAGCATGGCGGAACTCACAATCTCGGTAAGAGCCATCCCCAAGGTTTCGTAAATCCACTAGCCTCCCCTTGATGCCCTTCGGCTTCTCTTGAACGAGGTAGTGAGACCCCAGGTTGCGTTCTTTGGCTGTACTGCTACTGGCATCCAGTTAGTACTTGCGAATGTTCGTCATAAAAATCAATCTAATGAGTTGGTTGGAGGAAACCCGAAGAAGACCCACCTCATAAAGCCTCACGGGAATAGGTAGTCAATTTGAGTGTAGCTCAAGATTTGCGTAGTCAATGATCACGGCGTCGCTTGGGTTTCTAACGAGCCAAAACCGAGCTTCGTCAAACATCGCAACCTCTCCCAGACCTCTCCGATTGAACCTAAGCTGTTGAAGTTTAACGTTAGTGGCCCACTTATTGAGAGAATATCGTTGAAAAGCGTACTGGGATGGAATGAATAGAACGAAATTTCCCTCTCAGTGGGACTATGTACCAGGCGAAACATTGCTGATTCATGATGCATGATCAACGCCTTCATCGGCAAGCATGCGCAATACCGTCGTCTTGCTGAAATTCCACGTTCACGGCGAAGAAGGCAACGTTTGGACCTATGGCGGTAGTGAACAGGTGAATGTAGACAACTCAATCAACAAACATACGGCAAACATTACGACTGATTCCTCCTTATCATCCACTCCTCGTCTAACGTGGCCTTGAGTTCCACCACAAACACTGCAGAAAACTTTGTGACAAAGGTACGTCTCTCGAATTTTGAACTTCCTTCTCACAATGTAAAATTGCCACCCTCTGAAGTGCGTGATGATCAAAGGCCTTTTAAATTTCACCGGCCACCACTCTGGAAACACCCAAAAGTGTTCGTACAGACAACCTCCTCAAACAGCTACATGGTGTCGAAGCAGGGGCGGTTGAAACCTCACTGGAATCTCGGCAAGGGTGTTTCGATTTGATTCCCATATGACTGGCACTCGGCCCTTCCTCAGCAAAGTAATCCTCCAACGTTTTCCTCTGGTTTTCCTTCCGTCTCAATCCCCCATTCCATTTCGAATCCCGCGTCTTCCACCTCAATTCCAAACTTCCATGTACGCCTTGATCAACACAAACTCTGCCTCGTCATTTCCGCGTGATCGCTACGCAAAGTCCTTCCTCCACTACTAAAATCGACGTAGTCGATGATGGGTGGGCGCAGCGCGCGGCTGAGTTGTGGGCCTGAATGACGTGAAAGGTAGTTGAGATACAAAAAGGTTGGACTTGGGATACAACCTCGATTCCACGCAAAACGCACATAATCTCTCGGAATCGGGAATCATCGTTTGTTGTACCTCTCAAGCCCAATCTCAGACGGCGGATGCGAACGAGAGGGAGGGATGTTTACGCGGAGCATGTTCATCCATTAAACCGTTGCAGGAGTGTATCGTGCATGGTAGGGGTGTTGCTCCCTCTTTGGACTCTTGGACGTCGACTTCATCTTCGTGCCATTCACTCCTGCTACCGTGGCGTGGCCTTGTCGAGTCCGTCTTCGACCCCACTTCGTCGAGTTCAATTTTGGATTATTCTGAAAAACT